CACCCCAGCTCCACCCACAGAGGCGAATGCTCGGGATCTGGAATCACCAGTGGCTCGCAAGACCTCGCCTCACGAGGGACAGGTGAGCGCAACAGGGTTCCTGAAGCCTTCTCACCTGGCCAAAGCATTCGGGTCCCAGCAGGGTCCAGGTTGGGAAATGCTGAAGCCAGGGACAAAGTTCATCCCGAGAGAAAGCCTAAAGCTCCCAGCAGCAGCGTGGTTCACCCCTAAGTCCCCCCAGTGGCCGGACCGTCTCTGCCTTTTTCCAGGGGACCGTCAGCCAGCCCTCCACACCCAGCAGGCCGGGCCTGATCTCTGATCCAGGACTTTGCACTCCCCCGGCAGACTTCTGAGAAGTTCTTCCCCGGAAGGCCCGCGCTCCCCAGGCGGAGCTGGCTCAGGAACCAGGGCTGCTCCGCCCTGAGCAGTAACCCGACCAACTCTGAGGCCATCACCAGGCCTTTACCGGAGCAGGTGCTGCCTCCAAAGAAGTGTTTGTTCATAGAGCAAACACGCTGTGCCACAGTCCTGTCATCACCTCCATTCTACCGTCGAGGAAACTGAGGCACAGAGACCCACAACTACCCTCAGGGCACCAGTCTAGCCCACGTAGTGGATGCCCCCCAAAATATGTCCAAGCCCTAACCCCTGGAACCTGTGGATATGACTTTACTTAGAAAAAGGGTCTTTACAGACACAATTAAGGATCTAAGATAATCCTGGATTTAGGGTGGGCCCTAAATCCAGCGACAGGTGACCTTACAGGAAAAGGCACAGAGACACAGGGGAACAGCCATGTGAAGACAGAGGCAGAGACTGGATTTCTGTGGACTCCAGCCAACCAACGCCTGGAGTCACTGGAAGCTGGAAGAGGCAAGAAAGGATCCTCCTCTAGAGCCTGTGGAGCGAGTGTGGCCCAGCCGGCACCTTGATTTTGGACTTCTGCCCATGAACTATGAGAGAATACATTCCCGTTGGTTTAAGCCACCAAGTTTGTTTCGGCAACCCTGGAAAACTAATACAACCAGCTTTGGCCAACTCCAGAACCCATACTTTTACACTAATACCTCAGGCTAGTGTTACTTGCGCCGAAAGAGGAAAAAATTATTTCAGACCTCTGAGACTTTATCATCAGGGGTCTGAAATAATTTCAGACTGAGGCTCTCAGTTTGAGAAACATGGACTTTCTCCTCTTGACGATCACTTCAGTTATGAATGACCTCTAAAAAGGGAAGTGTTCCCTTTGTAACTAGTAACAATTCCAAGTAGATCCACAAAACAAAAACACAAAAGTGAAAACTCTCCTGGAGAAACATGTAAAGAGAGGAGACTATGTGTAGAGCATATGAGAACGCTCTGTATTATCTTCCCAGTAATTCCATCAATCTAAAACTGTTCTAAAATCAAGTTTATTTACCAAAGATAAACCACCTCTCCTGGAACTCCTTTGCGGATCAGCCCTGGAACCCTAGTTTGAGAAACACTGCCCTTCTTTGTTCTGTATCCCATTAATGCGTGTTGAATGAATGGCCATGCTTGTGATCTGGGGGATCCTGCTGAGCTTAAGTGTCTGTCCTGAGCTCCGATGCCCACCGAGGATATACCCTTCTTTCTCCTCATCTGATCCAAGAAGACCCAGCTCTGCCCCAGCAAAAAGAGGTGCGACGCTGGGGACAGACGCACAGCTCCTTTATTTTGGGTTTTCCAAGTTGAGGTGTGGGGAGAATCCTGTGTGGGAACCAACTGCTCCACACACTTCCCTTCAGAAAATCCCCGTTCCCAAAGTGGCAAAAAACTCACACAGGCCAAAGCCAGGAGAGGCCCCCTCAGTGACTCCACAGAGCATCAGTGCAAGAAACCCGGAGAGACCAAGCTGAGTGTAACAGAATAACAAAATGTGAAAGAGGAGGTACTTCCCTGGTGGCGCAGTGGTTAAGAATCTGTCTGCCAACGCGAGGGACACGGGTTCGATCCCTGGTCTGGGAAGATCCCACATGCCGAGGAGCAACTAAGCCCGTACGCTACAACTACTGAGCCTGTGCTCTAGAGTCGGCGAGCCACAACTGCTGAGCCCACGTGCCACAACTACTGAAGCCCGCGCGCCTAGAGCCCAGTGCTCTGCAACGAGAGAAGCCACCGCAATGAGAAGCCCGCGCACCGAAACTAAGAGTAGCCCCCGCTCGCCACAACTGGAGAAACCCCACGCGTAGCAATGAAAACCCAACACTGCCAACAATTAATTAATTAATTAATTTTTAAAAAAATGTGGAGGAGGACTCGTGACCAGAGAGAACTGATAAGAAAGAGTAACAAGAGAAAGAAAAAGGATGAACTACAAAGACGCGAGGTCCTTGGCAAACACATTTGTGATTTTTTTTTCCCACCTTAATGTCAGTTTTGAAACGAGCTTCAGAAAATGTAACCTAGCTTCTCACATCCCCAGAAAGGAAGATCGGAGGACCGTGGCCAGGGAGGAGTCCGTGTTACCTCTTACTTCGGAGCTGGGCATCCAGATAGGGGCCCTCCTCGTCCACGTTTCCACGAGGCGCACACACAGCAGCTCGCACCACCCTCGCAGGACCCTTCTCCCCAGATCTAGAAGTTTCCCACTCGGAGGTCCGGAACGCCAAGCCCTCCAGATGAGTGGCACAGGGTGCTCCAGGCCCCCCCAGACTGGGCACCACTTTCCAACCGTCCCTGGCAGTCCATAGGGTCCCCTGAGATAGCCAGAGGCTGCCCACACCCCTCCCTCCTCCCCGCTAGAGCGGCCACACCCGCCCACAGACTCCCACCTCTCCCACGCCCAGGCCCCCTCCCCTCCCACCCAGCCCCCCCCACCCCCGGCTTCCTCCGAATTCTTACTTTGCACTCTCGGCCCCCCACTTCCTGCCCACCCCCTCCCAATCTCAGGGCCCTCACTACTCCCCCATTTCCCGCTTCCCTCTGTACTCGGGGCACCTCACCTCTGGCCACCACTCACGCCCTCTTTTCTCTTTCTGCCCCTTTGACACCGTTCCTCCACACCCCTCACTCGGGGGGCCCCCACATCCAGCTCCCTCGGCCCGGGCCCACGGAGTCCACACCAGGCCCCCAAGGATCAGGGCCCCTCACCCTCGGGACCCCGGTCCCCTCACCGCGGCCGCGGCCGGTCCACCCCGGGCCCCCCGCCCGTCCGGCCTCGTGCGCAGCCCCCGCGCGCAGCCCGGCCCTCGGCCCGGCCCTGGGGCCCCGCACTCACGGCTGTAGAGGGCGATGCCCGCCGCGTCCGGGCCGGCGCGCACCTCGAGGCGCAGCGCCTGCTGCTCCGCGTGCCGCTGGATCTCGCCGTTCGCGTCGCCGATGGTGAGGAGGCGGGCGCCGGGGAACACGGACACTGCCCCGCAGGGCCCCGTGACACCCGGGCCGGTCGCCCCCGCGCCGCCCACGCCCGGCGCCGCCGCCGCCGCCGCCGCCCCCGCCGGGGCCGCCGCCGCCGCCCCCGCCGCCGCCGCCGCCCCCTGCACCGCCTCCGCCGCCGCCGCGGTATGGCCACTTGGCGCGCTCCAGGCCGTCGTCGCGG